AAGGTTCTAAACATTTTACTTTAGGGTGTCCTTTCTCTAGATTTACTTGGGGGATGTTGTCCAGGAAAACAGCACCCCCCCCCAAGAAAAAAATCCCCCCAAATGGTGTAAAACAAACCAAATAAACAAACAAACAAAGCAGGACCCAGAAGACAGATGATCCAATACAGAGCAGAGGTGGGGAAAGACCCAGATAGGAGAGCAGCCTCCCAGGAAGAGAGCGGCAAAGCTGGCCAAGTTCATGGACCAGGGGGACAGAGGGTTCCCAGGGGGGAGTCTCAGGAAAACCAATAGCAGCAGCAGCAGCAGCAGCAGCAGCAGCAGCAGCAGCAGCAGCAGCAGCAGCAGCAGCAGCAGCAGCAGCCACCAACTCAAACCACAGAGAGATGACTAATTGCTATCACATTGGAACCCAATACTAGAATATATCTGGGAATCAGTGGGAGCTCTGAGCAAACAAACAAGGATACATAGAAACTAAACAAAGGAAAACAAGGTAACAAATCCCTTTAGGTAAAACAACCCATTGTTTAAAAAAAGGAATCAGAGCCATGGGACAATTCCCGGATTAGTCCTGTCATGCCGATGACTATTATGGCTTCCACCCAGAAGTTCGATATTACCCTGAGAAAACCAGGGAAGGGAGTGTGTGGGTGCTACAGAGGACACCCCGATTCCATCTATCTTATGGAGAGTTTAATAAACTGAGAGGTGTCAAACCAAGGAAGAACTGGGCCATTTACTTAGAATTAAAAGGCAAATAGTAGAAAGAAGAACAAAGTGACCCCGAAGGGTAGGGCTTGCATAGAGGAAGAGATGGGCGTGTTTGCATGATAGGCCTCTGAGAACCGTTTAACTTCAGCTGTTTGATTATGGTATGTGTACACGCGTGAACAGATGTGGAGGTCGGAGGACAACTCACGGGCTTTTTGCTTCCAGTCCGTGTCCTGAGGGTCAAACTCAGGCCACCAGTCTTGGCAAAAAACACCTTGACTAAGCCATCTCACTGCCCTCTCCCCCATTTCCCTTTTAAGTTGTCTCCTGTTACTAAGGTAGTAATAACACACCCCCCCACCCACTCTTTATGCTGGGTTGGCGATTGAGCCCAGGGTCTTTCAGACACCCCTGACTGAGTTACACTCCCATAAAATCAAGGCCTGATTTTTTTTTAAAATATACTTTAAAATGTTGTTTTTTTTTTAAAAATTTTGTGTGCATGAATGTTTTGCCTGCATGTATGTATGCGTATCATGTGCATACTGTTAGGCTGGGAGCCTAGGCCCCAGTCCCTCGCATCTATCCCAGCCACCAGGCCTGGTCTGGGCTTCAAATCCCAGAAGGCCAGGTTCCGACCCCACCCCCAGGGAGCTCACCAGCAGAGAGCTCGAACTGCAGACTAGGGAAAGGACTGAAAGGATGTGCCCTAGCTCGGCGGGAACCTCCAAATGTTAGGAATATTTCCTAAGCAAGTTCTCTGAAGATGCAAAAATTCCCAATCAAGCCAAATCAAAACAAGCCAAATTAAGAAATATCCAGGTTTAATGGGAGATTTGCACTCTCGGGTGGCCCTGAGGGAAAAACAGGAAAGGAACGCGATTCCAGGGAGGAAGAAAGGGGGACCACTGATGGAGGAAGGTCATTGGCCAATAAAGAAACTGCTTGGCCCTGTGGGTGGAGTAAACAGAACAAAATGCTGGGAGGAAGAGGAAGTGAGGTCAGAGTCTCGACATCTCTCCTCTCCGGAGCAGACGCCTGAGAGAGACGCCATGCCCCGCTCCCAGGATGAGCCATGCCCCCGCTCCTGGGCAGACACACGGCATGAAGCTCAAACCCAGGATGGACCAGGCTAGAATCTTCCCGGTAAGACCGGTTCTCACAGATTATTAGAGATGGGTTGATCGGGATGTGAGAATTAGCCTGTAAGTGCTAGAGCTAAAGGGCCAAGCAGTGTTTAAATGAATACAGTTTGTGTGTTGTTATTTCGGGCATAAGCTAGCTGGGCAGGCGGCTGGGGTGTTGGGGATGCAGCCCCGCTGCCACCCTTATTACTTCAGACCACCTGTTCTTCTTTTGGGGGATCACTTAAGTACTCTGGGGAGTGGTCCTGACCCCTCCCTGGGGGTGGGGTCAGGACCTGGCCTGTTGGGATTTGAAGTCCAGACCAGGCCTGGTGGCTGGGATAGATGCGAGGGACTAGGGCTTAAGTTCCCAACCTAACACATACGTGGTGTCCAGGATGGTCAGAAAAGGACATGAGATTTTCTGGAACTGGAGTTAAAGACAGTTGTGAGTCACTATGTGGGTGCTGGGAATCAAACTTTTAATTGCTGAGCCATCTCCTGCTCCCTGTCAAAAACAGATCTTAATATTTTGAAATGTGAATGGAAATAGGTCTGTAAAAAAGCAGGGGTAAGTAGCTCCTTTCACCTGGACCGCTTGGCTCTAAAACACGGTAGGAATTGAGTTTGGTGGTGCAGGCCTGTAATTCCAGCTATTCAGGGGGCCAAGACAGGAGAATTGAAGTTCAAGGATAGCTTGAACTACACAGTGCATTTAGAGCTAGCCCGGATAAGGGAGTGAGACATTTTGTCAAAAGTAGAAAGAGCCTGGATACAGCCCAGCGGTAGAGTGCATGCCTAAGATATGTGAAGTCCTGTGCTCAACCTGGAGTCCACAAAATGCAAGCAAGCAAGGGGAAAGAAAACCCTGGAAGAGTCACCTCCAAGAAATAGCAAGGAGTATGATATCAAACTGCTGGGTGGATCAATGTTTGGGGCAGCAACAATGTGACAAGTTACTAAGTCAGCCTGCCTTCTGTCTCAGTATACACCTGGGGCCATTGCAGGTGGCCCAGAAAATTGTAGCCAAGAAAAATGTATCAGAATCCAAGTGTATGGCACAGTGCTAAGTCCTTTCCATGCCTTGTCTGGGGAGTATTTCTCAGAAGGTGTGGGTCGGCTCTTGCAATATCTTTGTTTAGTCAAAAAGGAAAAACGAAGCTTGGAGACATTTTGTGGAAGACACTCAGATTTTTCTGGTAGGAACCCACGTCTGTTGCAGCAAAACCTAAATATCTACAACCGTTTGGACTTCTGTTATTGTTACATGCTGTTGAATGTGGCTAACAGGGTACACTGCTGCCTGGTCAATTCCGGTTCTTCTGAACAACAGCTTCCTCCTTGGCAAAGTTTCACCGTCCTCAGAAGTTTACAAGGCTCAAAATGAATCCAAACAAACCTAATAGTAAAGCCCTGTCAGTGTTTGCAAAAGAAAATATTTAGATGACCGAGTTAAGCAGGGTAGAGATAGATTCTGTCTACCCGAGCTTTAGAGGACTCATCCTTGATCCTTTGTGGTCACTTTTGTGACCATGTTCCAGAAAGGATTTTAAGAAGAGAGCGTGGGCTCTGAAAGTTTCCCACTTTCTGTTTGGCAAGCAAGCTGATGCTGGGGTCACCTGGACTTTAATGTGGCCAGTTCTAGAGGAACAGCCACCTGCACTTCCTCTTGGGAAATTTGTAATATTTACTTCTGAGGACTTAATCTCCTTGATTTCCGCAGGCTCAGCGCGTACATGGGACCAAGTGGAACCAACTCCAGGAAACAGCTGCCTTCCCCTTTACGCACGTGTGCACCAAGCACTAATTTAATTGGTCTGAGTGTCCTTTCAAAAAGCTCAGTGATAGCCGTTTATGTTAGCTCAAGTCTGCCCCCTTGTGGGCAGTGCTTAGGTTTTTTTTTTTTTTAAATTATTATTTCTCAACTTTCTAAAAATAGCGCTTGCCCATTCATTTAAGAAACCCCTCAGGCGCCCCTATGGTTTGTAAGGTATCTGGATAGTATTATTCTTTCCAGTTCATAATGAGAAAATTAGGGATGAGAGGGAGGAAGGAATTTGAAAGTTTTCTTGTTTTCCCCAGCAGTCAACAAAAACAAAGTTTTCTCATCTGCAGGCTCTGGGATTCAGCCAAGTATATGTCCTAGTTCATCAGCTACCGCCAAGTGAGGTCTCTCTGCGAGCTGAACCTGGTTTCTGCCAGGCCCTGCACCCTTATGAATGGTGGCATTATCTCTGGCAGTTCAGGTAAAGAGCTCCCCCGAGGGAAAACCGCAGCGACTACTTGATTTCTGCTTTGCTGCTTTCAAGTGTGGTAAGTTACTACCATGCTCCAAACCAGAGATCTAAACCAGAAAGCCACATGCCACGAGTTCTCCTTGGAATTTTCCGAAAGCATCCAGGGGCCCCTTAACCAGGGGACTCACATTTGAAGTTCTCTGGATACACCGTACAAAGAGTGTGCTCTTCATGAACATAGCATGGCCACAGCTGAACTCTGTGACTGGTATTAGGTTCCCCTGAACCCAAAGAGTGACTCTGCTGTTCAGTAGATACGTCAGTCTCTCCGTGACTCCTCTTCCTCACAGAAGAGAGATGGGTGGGACGGATCCAGGCAATTCCCACTAAACTCCAAGCCTGTGCTTCATGTGAGCTTCAGAGGATGACTGTATGGTGGTTAGCATTGACAACTTGACACACCCAGAGTCACCTGGGAAGGGTCTCAGTGAGGGACAGACTGTCTAGGTCAGATTGTCTTAGTTAAGTTGACTGACATGGGAAGACTCAGTCCACTGCTGGTGGTGTCATTCCCTAGGTGGGGACGACTGAACTGTATTAGAGTGTAGACACAGAGCCAAGCAGAAACAAGCATGCGCACATTCGGTCTTCTCTGCTCTAGACTGTGGCTATGATGTGACTAGCTGCTTGCTTTTCTGCTGCTTTGACCTGTCTGCCAGGAGGAACACTTCTGTAAAGTCAAAACAGTGACAGGATGGAGGAAGTCACACTGTTTAGCTGGTGGCTTTCCTTACATGCGATTTCTCAGCTATTTATAGCAATGAACTTACAAATGACTTTCCCCAATCAATAGAACTGCCTTATGGGCAACATTTTGATATTTTTGATTCCATCAGGAAACTGGACAGGAAGAGCACATTCCTACCTTGTAGATGCAGGACTTGGCGTTCAGGAAGAAGAGCTCGATGGTGGCATTGTCCTTCAGGTAGGAGATGCTTTCTATATAGAATCTGCAAGAGAAACACCATGTGTGAGGCGCAGGGGAGAGGAGAAGAACCACTGCTTTGAGCAGTGTAGTTTCAGAGGATTGCAGTTCCGATGCTGAATGAAAAAGAGACAAAGGGGCCGTCAGTCTTTCCGTTGCTACCTTCTTTGAGGGTGTGCCATTTTTATACCTATGTGTCCAGGCATTTTTCTGAACATATATTCAAGGCCAACAAGCATATGAGAATACATTCCAGCTATCACTAAGCACTTGCACAATGCACACCAAAAGCCAAATGCGATATCAACATACACAACTCTAAGATTCTAAGATTCCCGTTTTGCTATATAGTGGAGTCATCTTCATTATATTACAGATATAGAATTGGGATTGGAGAGAGAGCTCACCAGCGAAGAGTGTTTACTCTTCTTGCTGGATGTCCTGGGTTCAGTTCCCAGCACCCATATCAGATGGTTCACAACTGCCTCTTACTCTATTTCCAGAAAGCCCAGTGCCCTCTGGTCTCTGTGGGCACCTGGATATATGCGGTGCATACAAATTCATGGAGATGCACATGCATACACATAAATCAATCTGAAACATAGTCTTATAATACATATAGGAGCTTTTGGAGTGTAACGACAGTCCTACCTCCAAGGACAAAGCAGTTCTAACTATTAAGTTATTATGATAATAATAAGATACAGGGCATATTGAATTCATAAATTACAATGCCTTTTTGGCATTGACTGTAGCGTATGTATTACTACATATATTCACAGTGTACATACATGTACACATGTGTCTACATGCATATGGAGGTCAAAAGGCAAAAGAGTGTATTTTCTTAGGAACTGTCCACATTTAAAAACAAACATTGTCTCTCACTGGCCTGGAGCTCACCACATAGGCTATGGTGGCCAGACAGTGAACCCCAAGAATCTCCTTCAGCCTCTCCAGCCCCAGTGATGGGCTTACGAGCATGTGCACCTGTGCCTAGCTTCACGTGGGTTCTGAGGATCAAACTCAGATCCTCGTGTTTGGGTGGGAGCACTTCACCTGGGTACTGTTTCACCAACTCTCAGCATTGATTTAAAACTCAAAGCAAAAATCTTTAAAATACACACCCAAGAGAAAAAAGTGTGTGTGTGTGTGTGTGTGTGTGTGTGAGCCTAACAAGTACTAACAAACAAGTACTATACATTTTTGGTTTTCATGTTCTTGGTTTTTCTAATAATGGCACATGGAATACCTACAGAAAGTTTTCATGGAAATAAACCCAAACTCATCGTGGCAAAAAAGAATGATCTATAGGCATATGAAAATGAGGATGGGTCAATATACAGCCTTAGAGCTGGGCCAGACCAGATCTCTCCAGCTATAAAAGGAAAACCTATGCAGAAGGACTTCAGGTCCTTCCATCCCACTCTTCTCTCCAAGCTTTCTGGAACCAAGTCTCCACAGACACCTGAAGCATGGGTACCGCAGACGTGGGTAAGGCAGACTTGGGTACTGAAGACGTGGGTACCACAGACATGGGTACTGCAGACCTGGGTTCCTCAGACCTGGGTACCGCATACCTGGTTACCACAGACCTAGGTATCACAGACCTGGGTACCGCAGACGTGGGTACTACAGACTGATTCTCAGACTCCTCTGACCATCTACTTTCTTTTCCCTTACCCAGTTTCCAATTTTTCATTCTGCAATTTCTCCATGTTACTTTTTAATCCTCACCACTGTTGAGCTAGACTTTTAACAGAGACGTTGTTCTGCTCAACGGAGCAGCAGGCGGTGGTCACATGGCTCTTCTAAGCACTTCCCATGGTGCTTCCCTGAGGGTCATGAAGTGTGACCTCATTTCAGCACATCCCATGGCTGGGGTAAGGACTCTTAAGGCTGTGACATTCATGCATATTCAGTCAAATGAGAACTGAATTCCTATCAGAGGGAGCGAAGGGATTTCTTTCAAGATGAAGCCTGCTGACAGTATTTAAGTTTACATTAAACATGCCTTTACACTTCACTTCAGAGTTTATTAAATTCTTTAATCAGATGATGGTCCTATTCAGTCTAAGGACCAGTGCATTGAGGGTAGAGCAATTTCAGATGACAAATGACTGAACTGCAGGGTGTTGGAGTAAAACCCAGACTAGACTAGGAAGGCATGGGCTGGGTGGATCTTAGGAAATAAGCAGACAGGAGGATGCAGAGGGAGAAGTGGACAGGAGGATGCAGAGGGATGAAGAGGAGGAGGAGGAGGAAGACGAGGAGGAGGAGGAGGAGGAGGAGGAGGAGGAGGAGGAGGAGAAGAAGAAGAAGAAGAAGAAGAAGAAGAAGAAGAAGAAGAAAATGCTATGGCCATTCATCACCACGACACACTCTGATAGGGATTCTGGGGAGGAAGCCAAGGACCAGGGATCTAATCTCACTAATCTCACACACTTAGGACATGTCACATAACTGTACTGAGATTCTCTTTCTTCAATTGTAAAGGTAGGAGGACTGAGAGGAGGGGAAGGAATGGAAGGAGCAGAAAAAGGAGGAGCAGAGTGGGACTCAATGGATCTCATGTAAGAAGTCTTTTTATGTTTAGATACTAGGATTAAATTTTAACTAAAACATGCACCACCACCTGCCACTGCCTTCTCCACTTCAGCAGCAATCCAAAACTGTATTTTGTGTACACACCTGTAACCCCAGCTATGGGAGTTCCAAGCAGAAGGAATGGAAATTCACAGCCATCCTTAGCTACCTAGCAAGAGTTTGAGGCCAGTCTAGGTCACGCTAAACCTTGTCTCAAGAAACAAAACAGCAAAAGTCCCTCCTCATGAGCGATGGACCCAGGCTAGGCAGGCCAGGTTCACAGCCCTCTTGCCCAGACACTAAGTGAGTGATGTCGTCAAATGCATGAAGAGTCTGCTGTGGTGACTGCGGTGCAGATTCAGGGACATGTGCTAATGACCCTGGTGTCACGTGTCACGCAGAGATGTGCAGGTTGCCTCCATCAATAGACAACGACAGTTTGCCACAAAGTCAGAGGTGCAAAATTCCAAACGATTAAAAACTGGTCCTCACTTGCAAAGCCTATGAGAGGGGGCTGGTTGATCTCTAGCTGCCCTGTCCCCTTAGCTCCTGCCCGCAGCTTTGGGAGCAGGTGTTTTAGATGGTGGGGCCCTGAAGTCATATGTTGTGCAATGGTCTCAGGAGAATGTGTAGTACTTTAGGAATGGAAACCTGAAACACAGTGGCAGATTTTACATCTTGAAATTATGTTAAGTGATTTAATTTTAAAGTCTGAACATTCATGCTTTGATTGTGTGTGTGTGTGTGTCTGTGTGTGTGTGTGTGTGTGTGTGTGTGTGCACATGCAAGCGTGCTTACGGGCATGCATGTGGAACTCAGAGTACTTGCACAGTCAATTTTCTCCTACTGTGTAGGTACTGGGGATTGAACTCAGGTTGCCATGCTAGGTAGCAGATGGCCCACTGAGCCATCTCTTCGAGTTTATTAATTTTTTTTAATATTTATTTATTTATTTATTATGTATACAATATTCTCTGTGTGTCTGCAGACCAGAAGAGGGCAGCAGATCTCGTTACAGATGGTTGTGAGCCACCATGTGGTTGCCGGGAATTGAACTCATGACCTTTGGAAGAGCAGGCAATGCTCTTAACCACTGAACCATCTCTCCAGCCCCAAGCTTATTAATTTTTAATTAAAAATTATATGTGAGCCTGGTGGTGGTGGTGACACATGCTTTAAATCCCAGCACTTGGGAGGCAGAGACAGGTGGATCTCAGTGAGTTTGAGGCCAGCCTGGTCTACAGAGTGAGTTCCAGGACAGTCAGAACTGTTAGACCAAGAAACCCTGTCTTGAAACTCTCCTTTCCTTCCAAAAAACATTCTGTCTGATGTGTATGTGTGTTTGTGCATGCACACCTGACATGGTGCACACTTGAAAGTCGGAGGATGCCCGTGGGAGGTGGTTACCAAAGTCTCATCGTTTACAAAGTCTCCTTGGCAAGGGCAGTGAGAATAACAGCGAGTGGGAAGAAGGGAAGAGGAAAACTGGGGGAAAAAAGAGAAGAATAAGCATGGTAAAGATATGGAGATGCTTGGAGAAATAAGCTATCTCAGACTCTACATATTTAGACTCCAAATTATTCCATTGTGGAAAGGTCACTGTTAGCTTTAGAAGAGTTCTGTTGTTTTTCTGATCCTTAGGGTCCAACTAGACAGTGACTTTAACTATGTCCTGTTTTAACATGACGCATGGTGACAGTGGGGTAACGACTGGATTTGCAAATATGAGACTCCACTCCTGGAAGTTTATGTCAGCTGAGAAACCCCTCGACAAGGTGTACATGTGGCCTTTTGGATCAGCCTGCTTCTGTGACTCTGTTGGAGCCATTCCACAGAGAGTCCTCCCAGCCTCCCCCCCAAGACTCCTGTTCCTTCATCACTCAGCTTCAGAGTACCCTACAGAGACCATTTCCTTAGCTCCTGCTTATCCCCCTCCCCCAGCCGCTCTTCTGGGATGCTCTTCATGCTCCCTACCCTCGCCCCCCCCCCCCCGTTTTCTCCAGAAGAATATTGTACGAGACTCCAACACCCTACTTCTGCCTCCCGTGCTGTAGTAAATGAGGCGGCAACATTTCCGAATCTGGCATCTACATCGTTTTTATAGATCTCTACTATCTGGCAGGAGAGTCTGAGGAGGCTGCAGAAATAACAAGCATATTCTGGGATGGAAGGGGAAAAAAATCCTCCTTTTGACAGAAACTGGAAAGCAGTCTCCTGTTAACCTTTATCACCAAGACAACAGCCCGGAAGATCCTGGAAGCTCTGGGCCTGTCATGCTTTTGTTCATAACCTTGGACATTTAATTCATCCTGAACTTTCTATCTGTGCTAAAGTGACATGCTTGGATAAAAACAGACCTGAGACATCTCCATTCACACCATGGGCAGGCAGCAGACCGAGGAGATTTCTGGGGAAATGGGAACAGTTGATGGTTTGCTT